CAAGTGATCTGCAATGTGCAGCCAGTTAGAAATCATTGTTCTATGTTTTGGTTGTTCTTCTCTAATAAAACCTGTTTGGCACTATGGGTTCATGAGGTATATGAAAATAGATTATGTTATGGCTTTACTGATGCCCTGGCAAACATCAAACCAGAACCAGCAACACAGCCAACAGTGTGAATTAATATGTGGAAAACATTCCTCCAGTTCAGTGCTGCTGTCAATTGAATTCTTGATATTCGTAGGGTCAGTGGTATCCTTAGCCTGTGGTGGGGGGTGGAGGTGGGTGCTTGTGGTGCACACAGTTTTTGTGTGCATGTTGGTGGGGGTGCTAGTGGAGAATGAGGCCACTAAGAACCTGCATCCCGACCAGCTCTTGGTGATATCACTGGTTGCCAGGAGCTGGACAGGACATCGGCAAGAGTGTCCTAGGTTGCTAGGAGCTGGGCTGGAAGATGTGTATGGCCCTTACATAACCTAGGATGTTTTGGCCTGAAAGGGGGTGGCAGGCACACGCAAACATTGTGCAGGAGAGCGGCCATGCCACTCTGAATGCCGCCTCCCCACGTTACCTGGCTCAGGCTGCCTCCTTATAGGGATGGCCCTGCATAGAATATATAACTCTTTTTGAAATCTTTGAAGGGCCTACTTAAAAGCAGATGGCAATGGGTGCCTACTTGTTTTTTTATTAACCAGAAAACCCTCCTTTGGGCTTAAATGATGTTGTCTAAACACAGTAGGCATTTGTATTCCTACTTGAATGTCCATGTGCTTTGCAAATTACTCCCAGATCTATACAGTAATCCTTCCAAAAATAACCCTTCAGTTGCTGCAAGCAATTCGTCTAATACAGACCAGTCACTGCTGCTTTCTCTCCATGTGCAGGGTAACTGGTCTTGTATCCGCTTCTAGTTTTCTGCAGACAGCCTGTGGCGGGCAGAGCCTGCTGGGCCTCTCCCATATTCTATGTGCAGTATAGTGATGCTGTCATTGCTTCTGATATCTGGTGATATCTGGGGTTGCAAAGGCATTTGGTGCGTAGAGAATAGACATTATATTTGTGGCTGTTGACGAATATATTTGAATTACATTTTTTTGTTCCTGAAGTTCAAATCTGTTACAGGAGCCTGACTTTTACTCACTTTTTGGCTAAGCTCTTGGCAATAATTTGTGATTATTGCCAACAAATTAGAAAGGTTTGGATAGTCCAAAATGTTACAGTTGTCACAAGTGATGAAGCTAAATCTTCCAATGGGGGCACTTATTCCTGTAACAACAGTCTTGGGAGGGTTTCTAAAGTATAACCATGAAGTCAGGCAAAGTCAGACCTCGGTAACAAAGTAAATCTAGTTGATATTTTCTTAGTCCCGAATAGTTATTACCATAGCCTGAAATGAAGACAAACAACCTTTGGTCTCACATTTGAATATTCAACTGTATATTTAATGTGTATGTATAGCCAAAATGTTTCTTTTGTTTTGGATGGAGTGAGTAAGGATCTCAACTCCTGTCATTTTCTTTGCTGTCTTTGGCCTTGCTGGGGAGATTCGCTATCTATATTTGTATTTGTGATTATTGCCAACAAATTAGAAAGGTTTGGGTAGTCCAAAATGTTACAGTTGTCACAAGTGATGAAGCTAAATCTTCCAATGGGGGCACTTATTCCTGTAACAACAGTCTTAGAGGAGAATTTCTCTTACTTTGGATACATTTTTCCTTACTTTCTGTTGTACCTCTGGGCAGGAAGTGAAAGGAAATCTCCCCAACAGGGCTTACACAGCAAAAAATAAACCTACTCTATCCAAAAATAACATAAAATGTTTTGGCTATGCATACACTTTAAATGACTATATCTTGTCTTTAGGAGGTTGTAATATTCAGGCCCACAAATGCTAAAGGCATACCAATTACTTGTTATGGCTCAGAGGTTCACAACAAATAAGATGGCCTGTGGACTAAACAAGAGAGATTGATCGACTCCACCATCCACGCTAAACAGCACAGATGGAGGAATCTTCCCTGGCGGCCAGCTCTCATGTCTGTCTGAATACTAACACAGTGCCTGCAGCTGATTGGATACAGTCACTTTCTGGCTGACAATTTTCCACACTGCTCCTTTGCCTGGCAAGATTACCAGTCAATTTTTGTAGCTGGTTGACAACAGGGCCACCCATGGCTCAAATTTCTGCCGATGCAGCAGGAATCAGCCAACATTTGCGTTGTCTATGGCCAGCTTTAGTTGTCACATCATATTTCACTTACTCATACCTTGAGATGTTTGGGTGGTCCATTTGCAAATAGAAGTGTCTGGACATTTTGTTTGCCATTATATAATTTTCTCATAAGTAATTTGTACATATTTCATGCTTACAGTATTCATCAAACCAATGAGGCTGAAACTGGAAAACAGTATATGAGCACAAAGGTAGAGGTGTTGGCAGTGGCAGCCAATTAGACCTCAACTTTCATTTTATAAAACGTAAGAAAGAATTCTTATTGTTATAATGGACAATAATTTTGTGCCTATTTTCTTTTCTCCGGTTTTGCACAGCAGTTCTTTTGACTGAATGTTCTAAGTCTAGTCTAGATGTCCTAGTAAATGTTGCTAAATCCTCAGGCTTAGCATCGCTTAAGGAGTGTCCCTTGTTTCCTTTTTTCATGCAAATCAATTGAGCTCTGGAACTGAATTGTGCTATTTAAGCCTATTAGAGGATAAACTGCTTATCATTTCCCATTTTGAAGACTTAAGTCAATTCGGAGAAACTCTGGTTTGACTCCATGTGGCATTGTATGATGTTATTGTAAAGCTGCTTTTTTGCCCCATGTATGATTTGTAAAGTCAATTCAGGTGTCAAAAATGGATTTTTACAGAACTGGCTTTATTCTTGTTTGCAAAATCAGTTAAACCCTGTGCTTAGAAATATAAGGATGTGGCCTTTGCTGACCTCTGAATCTGCCTGTCCCCGGGCTCTTGACATCTGGCTTCAATACTGTGAGTCAGTAGCCCAAAACAACTATGCAGATAAGAACTTTACATTTTCCTTTAAATGTCCTGATTTGCATACCTGTTCCCAGTTAATGCCTCAGTATTGAAGGTCAGCATACCAGTCAGACAGCCAGAATTTTCAGAAGGCGGTCAACAATGGCAGTCCCCATATTTCTCTCATGAAAGGTTAACTTTAAAGGTTAGGCAGACCTATGTAAATAGGTTTATCCAGTGTTTCTAAACCCAGCAACCTTATATTCTAGGGATGTTCAGATACCAGTTCAGATACCAGTGCCGATACTTGGCATTTCCACGAGATTTACCAGGGCTGCAGCGGTTGCAGCTGGGACCTGGCTCTGGTGCTCCACCACTGTCCAGAAATCATTAGTCTGTATTGTTTTAGAAAAACACATGACAATAAACTAAAATGTATCAGGAATTGTATCTGTGAGTATTTGGACAAGTATCAGTACTTATACTTGCAAAAATGGTATTGGTGCATCCCTTATATATATTTATAAAATAAAATTCATACATTAAAACAGGGATAAACAAATCTCAGGAGCTCAGTATGCTTCTTAAAAAATGACAGCTGCCTCCTAACTTTTTAAATTTTTCTCTAGTCCAGTCTTCTCTAGTCCAGTCTTCTCTAGTCCAGTCTCGGAACTGGAAAAATATCTGTACTTGTACTTGTACCGAGTACTGTACTTGGTACCTGAACATCCCTATTATATTCCCTTTCTAAGACCACATATTTGACCTCTCTGTCAATAGACAGCAGAAAACTGCTATTGGATTCTTTTTCAGCTAAGTTTTTAATCTAGTCTATTGCTAAATACAATACGATACAAAGTATATTCGGTATGCAGCTTGTAAACTAATGTACTACTTAGTTTTTAATACTTCATTTGTGTACAGTTATTTTGTTAGCTTATTAATCGTTAGCTTTTGCTAAATGTAATCACAGTGATACATTGTTTGCACATCTGCAATCTGTTATATATATTTTTAGATAGGAAATTCCTGTGCTCCTTGGTGCCACCTAGTGGTGGTAATGCCAGGCAAACACCATACAAACACTGAGTGTAAGCTTTATACATCAGCCCCTTGAATTCTACTACACTGTATTATAAAGCAGAAGTAAAGGCAAATAAAGTAAATAAAGCTTTTAGCCATAATATGCTAGCATGCACAGAAGGCTTAACCTGCCAAACCCATCATCTCCAGCAAATCACCCCTCCTCCAGTGCTTCCATCCTCAGCTCGGTCCTCTTCCAGGCACAAATTCTTCACCGCTTGATTGGCCAGGCCCTGATGACGTAACTCCCTCGTATGCGCATGAGAGTTACTTCATCCTAGCAGCATCGGGTCTAACAGATTTTCCCTGCACGTAAAGAGTGTGGATGGACAAATCTCCCACTGCAGCTATTGTATTCTCACAGCTAGCACCCAGGGCTGTCAGAATACCTGAACAGTGACTGTGGCTGAATTGAATGCTGTCACTGTTCGGCCAAACATTTTCAACCGTTTTCCTTTGATAAATGTCGATTGAATAATTGACATTTGTTGAGCGAGCAGGGCCATCCACTGTAAGAATTCTAACAGTGTATGGCCAGCCTTAGTCATTTTTAGCCAACCACAAAACCTCCATATTGCACATACAAGACCTTGCTGTATGACTGTACATTCAGTACATATTAAATAGACTACTTCCCTAAAATTCTGGATAAAACAATAAAAAATTATTGATAGAAGACACACATCAGGCAGTACAAAAATATCATCAAACTCTTCCACAATCAATGTATCAATTTGCCAGTACATAAGTGTACATGTTGCTCAGATTGTTGACTTTGTATCATAAGAACATGTTAGTCTGCTCTGACTCATGACATGGCCTATGTACAGTAGCTGAGAAGCTCAGACATCTGATGTGCATCCTTCCATCACTTCTTGTTTTGTGCAGAAAATATAAACTAACAAGTCAGTCTGACACAATTTATTTTCTGAAACAGTTTGACCTCCAGTGGATGTTAATTCATTGTGATCCTCTGCGGCCCGAGAGGGAGTCTTGCACTGAGCTGGAAGCCAGAAGACAGGTAAGTGAATGGAAAGTGGGTGCGGGAGCATCAACATGGGAATTTATTCTGCTGCTTCTTAATAGAACACGCAATGCATTTACTGATTAAACAAGTTTAGAGGCCCTTAACCTTTTTCAATTCTGAGCTGCATTCAAATGAAAGTATATGCCTAGGAAAAAAAAAATCTCTGTACTACATGCACATTTCTCTATGTTTAGACTCCAGTACAGAAAAATACCTGTTGATCCTGAGAGATCTTAAAGCAGAACTCCGGGCAAATCAAATAATAACCTTTGAAGTGGGATTTAAATGCTCATTTTGTTTAGGGAGCTAAAATAACAAAGTTATACTCCCCCAAACCACAATCCCAGCTGGCTCTTTGCTCCAGCAGTCTAAGGTCACATGAGTCATCACGTCCTATACATGCTGAAGGACATTTCATCACTGGAGCGGAGGAGGCGATAAGGGCCATACACATCTCCCCTCCCAGCTCTTAGCAACCTGAGACGCTCTGGCCAGCATCTCACTCAGCTCCTGGCAACCAGTGACGTCGCTGGTTGCCAGGAGCTGGTGAGATGCTCTGTCTGACAGCTCTTGGCAACCAGTGATGTCAATGATGTCAGCTGGATGGGATGCCAGATGGGATACCAGAGCTGGGCAGTGCACCTCCAGGACGTTGGCAAGAAAACCGTTAGCGTGTACAAACAGCAACCCACGAAAGCCTCCCGGCCCCCTCTGAGCAAGATCACCAGCACCCCCCGCCTCAGGCAGCGATTATGCTAGGGACACCCCTGTTTGCACACATAAATTAATTCTAGTGGCTAGAATAACTCAATATTCTAGCTAATGGAATGCTGCTAAACATTGTACAAGCATTGAAGGCTAAGTTTACTGACCATGTTTCATGTTACAACCTTATTCAAGGTGCAACATTAAACACTTACCTGAAACACAGGGTTTTTTCTCCCTCACTCCAGGCATGTGCTCATTTTTTAATTCAGCATCACTATGCATGCCTCCGCCCACACAGCCCCATCACCCTTTCACAGTTCCTTTGACAGGATCCATGAATAGAGAAACAAGTCCCATCAGCCACCATGGTAGTTTTCAATGATATACAAGTGAGGTGAACGCACTTGTAATCCATTCATTCTTCCTCCCTTCTATGGTAGTGAATGTCCGTAGCAAGGTATTATTTTGTTCTAAAAGATGGAATTTCCCTTTAAGGTGTGTACTTTACACACCATTACACTCATATGCCATGCTGGATCTTTCTGCCCGCTTCTGGCACCAAGATCCAGCATAGATATGAGTATGTAATTATGTCCATGTGCATGAGCACTAAGAAGTGCTATTAGCCATGCCCGGATTCTCCCACTGCTTACATATGGACATGATGGGAGGTGGAAATGTTCTGTAGTCCAGCAGGGGATAACTCGGGCAGGGCCTACAACGCTGCTTGGGAGTTCAGTGCTGTAGAGGCAGTTTATCTGGTCATTGGTCTATCAATCACTCACACAAAAAGCAAAGGTAGGTAGGTTCTGGGAGTACAAACAGACAAATGTCTCCCTACCCATCAATCTTGGGAAAACATTTGTCTGTCTGTGGCTTGCCAAAGCTGTAGATTGAGCAAGACTGTCCCTCTTCTTCTGCTAGATTCCCTTTCTCTTCAGCAGGAAAGAAGAACAACCTGCTGTGGCCTAAAAAATATTATAATATGTGTACATAGGCAATTTAGGGTTATGGGTGGGATCATTCCACAGAATTATGAAAAGTAAAGGGAGTGCCACAGCTCAATAGTGTCTATCCAGTGCTGAAAAAATACCAGTTTGGGGTGAATCTAGCTTTAAAAGAGCTGTTATTCTGCATATCACAAAACCTGACAATAAGACTGCATTCACACCGACAATGTAAGTGTGTTTAGGGATTCCTGCATCAGGAACTTGCAATTTCCTGTAGCAGGAATCCCAAATATGCCGTATACAAACAGCAGCTGTCCCCCTTTCTAGTTAATGAATGGGTGACAGAGGACACATTTGAAAGCGGCAGAACGCTAACACACCACAAGTAATGTGATACTGATTACATGCGGTTAGGAACCGATTGCTACTCCTGGTCCTGATTGATGCATACAGGGATAGTAATTGATTGCTAACAGTATATAATCATGTCAGAAACTATTACATGTGGTGTGCCAGATTACAAATGTGGCCGCTGTCACCCAATCATTAACTTGAACGGGTAACAGCTGCTGCTTGTAAATGGCAGATTTGGGATTTCTGCTGCAGGAAATCGAAGGTTCCTGATGCAGGACTCTCTAAAAACACCAACATTGTAGGTGTGAATGTAGCCTTACTATAAGCCCCATTTCTCTTGGCTCTAACTATAATTCACCACCACCTACAAAAACAAAAATTGTCATGCATATTACCAATCCACCTATAAACTTGCAACATTTCAGATCCCCAGCACATCTAGATCATGGTGAGGGTAAGAACTTTTTGGCCTCCCCTCGTACTATGTTAACACATATAAATGACATACAATTTAATGAATGACACAAAGACAAATGATGTTTCCTATGGCTTGCTTATTTTTGCTTTTTGATATCAAGCTTTATTATTGATATTATTTGTGTTTACTGTGTGTTATGTATGTACGTATGGTCTCAAATTCTCAATAAACAGAGCCTGACTAAAAGTTAGGATGCCAAGAATTCTAAATTGAATTGATATAAAATGTACACTGTATAAAAAAAACAGTATGTCTGGCAACTTTTTTTTGCAAATATTATTGTTATGCAGTAAGCAGTATTTCAGTGAATAATAAATGTTTACAAATGTTTAAAAATGTATGACTAATGATAGATATTCTGGGTATTTTAATTATGCATAGACTGCATCAGAATGAGCTACACCAAAGACTGATCATAAACCAAAACGTTGTATATCTTCACAATATAACCTACCCAATTTAGGTGAACAGATCTAAAAGTAAAAAAAAATTGGGTTCTAAGCGTGGGAATGTCACTTTGGTCCAATAATAAGGAAGTCAGTCTGGTTATGAAAAGTTCTCAGTGAGGTCAGTAACTCTTTGCTAGCAGTTTGGAGTAAGAGGGGCAGCATTAGATTACAGGTACAGCATCCAGATGAAGGGTTAAAGGTCCACCACCATCCCACCTTCCCATCCCACAGCCAAGGCATCGTCCAATCATCATACCCTCCTCCCAGAATATTAATAAACATAAGGATCTGACGCTTCTCCAGGGCTTACCTTGCTACTAGTGTTGGCTGCTTCATTTGGGGGATTTGCCTTGCGGCTCCTAAAATTGGTCAGGGGGAAAGGACGCTGCGTTTTCTTGCCTAGCCATAGGTTGTACTATGGCTAAGACGGTCAGGAATGGAGGGGCCCTTGTGCTTGTGCTTATATTACAGCTCGTCAGCATCTCCATAGCTCAAGTAAGTGACAAGTAACTTTCCTTCATTTGTCTTTTCCAGATCAGCCAGGCGCTGCTTGAGGTAAGAGTTGGACATGTGGAAGTCACTATATTAAACTCCAGCAGAAGTGTCAGTAGCTGCAGCAATCAGCCGGGGTGTGAAGGGTTAACTGATGCCAGTACAACTTTTCCAGCGCTCCAGTAAACTTGAGACATTTTTAACTTTGCATCCCAATAGAAGTGACATGGTGTCACCGAGCGATCAGGATTTATTAACATCGCAGTTATTTCTTCAGCATAATCTGCCAGTCTTATTAGCTGGGAAAAGGGCTTACAAACCTGCCATGGTGACTGTTTAGAAATGTGTTGGTTTTAAATCTTCATCCTGAGAAATCATTATTAAATGGTTGTTAATATTTAATAAGCATCCCACGTCTGCAGGGATAATTGCAATGCCAATCTTATGTCAATTATAGTCTTCAGCAGGAAGCGATTTGGCTGGCATGGTAGGAGATAGGAAACATATAGACTGTATGCAGGGATTTTACCTCGCCAGGGGATAGAGGGTTAAGAGCAGCACATGTGAGGGGTTCAGGCCAGTTCAGTATACAGGGGGATGGACATGATGTCGCCTCCCTCCTCTGTAGAGGAGGGAGCAGGGGTACTTCCACCTCACAATGCCCTCTTTGTAAAAGACCCCTTGCTGGCTACTGTGGAAATACGAACTAAAAAAAAAAAAGATTAAAACAAGAACACATTCATCTTGCCAGCAGCAACCCTGTATCATAGGAATCTTACTCTAGTATATGAAGTGTACAGCAGTAACCACATGGACAAAGTGTATCATAGGAATCTTACTCTATCTATAATATATGAAGTATACATTGATGTTTGCCAGTAACCACATGGACAAAGTGTATCAAAGACATCTTACACTACCCATAGTATATGAAGTATGCATTGATGTGTAGCAGTAAGAACAAGGACAACGTGTATCATAGGAATCTTACTCTATTATATGAAGTATACATTGATGTATAGCAGTAAGCACATGGACAAAGTGTATCATAGGAAATTTTGCTCTACCTGTACTATATTAAGTATACATTAATGTATAGCAGTAAGCACAAGGACAAAGTGTATCATAGGAATCTTGCTCTGCCTATACTATATGAAGTATACATTAACGTATAGCAGTAAGCACAAGGACAAAGTGTATCATAGGAATCTTGATCTACCTATACTATATGAAGTATACATTGATATATAGCAGTAAGCACATGGACAAAGTGTATCATAAGAAACTTACTCTACCTACAATATAGGAAGTATACATTGATGCATAGCACATGAACATACTGTATCATAGGCATCTTACACTACATATAGTATATGAAGTATACATTAATGTATAGCAGTAACCACATGGATAAAGTGTATCATAGAAATCTTACACTACCTAAGTATGTAAAGTATACTTTGATGTATAGAAGTAAGAACAAGGACAAAGTGTATTATAGAAATCTAACTCTACATTTCATAAGAATCTCACTCTATATATTGTAACAATCTCACTCTATTGTAAAGGTCTCGCTCTATATATTATTACAATGTTACTCTATACATTATAACAATCGTATTCTATATATCATAACAATGGTACTCTATAGATCATAAACGTCTCACTCTATATATATATTATAACAATCTTATTCTCTACATCATAACAGTCTCACTCTATATATTATAATAATCTAAATCTTTATATCATAGCAATCAACATATAGTGTATGAAGTATACATTGATATTTAGCACTAAGCACATAGACAAAAGCATCACTTCCAGCGCTGATCCCACATACTCTACTTTGAAAAGTCACTTGTCCATCATGTTGAAGTGTAATACTAGAGAAAGACGTTTTTTATTGTCGGTCAATTTATTATAGTTTGATTCATTAATGGGCCGATTTCATTACATGCAAGATAGATCTTTCTTTCTTCCTGTTTCACTTTCTTTCTTTTCCTTCTTTTCTTTATCTCTTTTTCTTTTCTTTCTTTCTTTCTTTCTTTCTTTCTTTCTTTCTTTCTTTCTTTCTTTCTTTCTTTCTTTCTTTCTTTCTTTCTTTCTTTCTTTCTTCCCTCCCTCCTCTCTAGCGATTTCTGAACTAGAAGTCACAGGATACCCAGCTGCAAGATGCCAGGTCATCCTGCGACTAGTAGTTCTGCAATAATTGCTGAGTCACGGTGTTTCCTGATTGAGAACAAGCCTGCAGTCCATGGGAATTGTTGCAATTAACATTACCTATTGTTTTAAACAGAGAGGACCACCCGGACCCCCTGGGCCAGCAGGTCCCCCCGGACCATCCGGAGTCCCTGGCATCGATGGCATAGATGTAAGTGTGATAAGTATGGCATGTTGCCCTGGGTTTCCCCATTGCACCTTCTCTGTAACAGAGTGCAGACTAGATCAATACGATTGGAAGGACACTGCACGTATGTTTATTAGGTTCTTCACAGCCTCATTGACACCTATGTGATGAATTTAGCTGGAATGTGTCTGATGGTTCATCTGATCTTTTCCCTTTTGTTTAACAGGGCGACAGAGGTCCTGATGGCCCTACAGGACCACCGGTAAATTCAATACCCTTCCCGATTTGATTGCTTTATAGTGATCGGTGTGTTTTTATTTTATTAATTGGTTATGTCTCATTTAATCTTCAGGGTCCAGATGGGGACTCGGGCAGACCCGGATCTCCCGGATTGCCAGGCGAACCCGGAGCCGATGTGAGTACATTGCCAGTGTGACTGTCTCTCCCGGGGAAGGGTGTGCATTGATGGGGCGCCATATAAGGCGATGGGCGGGGCCCGGATACTGCCTGTGTGCGCATAGAGAGCCTGTTGTATGCGAGTCCAGCGCTGAGTGTGATGATTGAGTGAGCCCCATTCATCTCCAGTCACTGCATCCTCTTCTGTCTGCCATCTGATTATGGAGAGGAATACAGCTGGAATCCTGTGCTAAACTTAGCAGTCCCAAGCTGAATCGTTTACTTCATGGTTACTGAGGGGGTGCTAATCTATTGCACTATAATAAACTGAATGTGCAGTGCTTGATTAGTCCAAAAACGTCAATGTATTATAAGGCATCCTACCAGTCCTTAGATGTGGTGCCTGAGTTAGTTCCTTCCTACAATAGCAACTTTGAAGACCTTAAAAAGAAGGACATTTTGCTTTAATGAAAATGTGCTGAATGAAAACTATAGAATGTCATTGCTGACTCCTGCAATTAAAAATGTACATTTCCTTGGTATTATTATGATCCAACAGCTGCAATAGTTTGGGAAACTGACTTGAAACATGCACACAAGTTAGATGCTGTCACTTCTCCTGCTGCATGCTGGTTCTGGGTCCCTGTCTTAGTAGTGAAGTTAGAGAAAACTTTATTTTCCATTTGCATATGCTGTCCTGCATTTTTATTGAATATATATGTGGAGTCCTTTAAGTTAGTAATAAAGTGCAGTCAAGTAAAAGTTGCAGGAGACCTTGTGTAAGACATGATAAAATCATTTCAAGGTCCGGAAACATTTTCGAAGAGATGTAAATCCTTGATTATTATAACTATTTTATGCTGAAGGCTTTCCATTTTATTAATGCTGTTTTGCTATTTCTATTACAAGCATAAGTACACCTAACTTTCAGGGCCTCACACCGAGGTCAGTAAGGGACTCCTGTGATCTTCACTTGGAAGCCTTGGTGGTATCACACAGCTTTTGCTGCCCAACTGGCTGCTGTGCTCCCCTCTACAGCTGCACCACAGCTTTTATTTATTTCAATAGAAGGCCAATCAACATCTCAGCATTCTATTGAAATCATGACACATAGCGGGCGCAGTAGCCGACTGGGTAGATCTTGAAGAAAAGACTTCAAGAAAAGCCTCACACAAGAGATTACCAAAGTCTGCTAATTAGGGAAGTGTGTATGTTAGTAAAATGTTGTCCACAAGGTGGGTGTGCTTTGAAGGGTGACTGAACTAAAGGTCTCAAAAATGCAATGGTGGCTCTTACTTTGGCTAATGTATGCTTTATAGCTCATGGTGGTGCAGTCTTGTTCTTGAGTTAGCCTCTCCCTTTCCTGGATAAATGCTATGGTAGAGGCAAGCGAAGAAGTGGTTGGAAGATAACAGGTCCTACTTTGCTAGTTGCCTCTAGCAGTAGCTTCATTTTTAATTAGACACTTTGATGTGACTCATCCTAGCCAGCTCAAAGGGCCATTCCAGTGGAGACGAATATTACAGCTTTTGGTAGTTGCTGGAGAGTTAAACTCAACAATTTCTTTGCTTCATTGGTAGGATCCCAGTGCCTGAATTCCTAGGTCTGCACTCTCACTGCAGTATTTAAGGGGGGTGGGAGCAGGACGTACACTGCCTATTGGATGTTTGATTCATTTTAAATTATGAAGAATGCAATAAAGGGATTGAAAAAACTTTAAAATGGATGGGAATATCCAAACGTCAATGTGGGTGGAAGCAGATCCATGGAATGTGGGCAAATCTTGCAGCAGGAGTTCCCAAGATCTATAAGGAATAGGTAACTCAGTATGCTTGTCAAGATGTCAAGTCAGGAACTACAGTTGATATACTCTGTGTAAAAATGAAAATTAGACCTTTTGATTGCTCATCCTTTATTTCCATCCCCCTTAAGATTACTTTGCAAGCCGTAGAAGGCCCGTCATCTCAATGCTGCTTACAGAGCCAAACAGTTGGGATGTTTCACCAAAAATGAGCTGAAAGTTAAATATGAAATTGTTGCTTCCATCTAAAAGGGAGGTGGTGACTGTTGAGGGAGGCTGGGCTCCCCAGTGTTACCACATGCAGAGGTCAAATGTCTAGTTATTATGAAAATTCTTTTGTTTTCATGTTTTAGAATGCGGCTGGTTTCTTCCTTTCTGTTGTTTAGCTATGATAGGAGAGATATTATAATCCCATTAGTGCAGAGGGTTTATAATGTAAGCAATCTTTTTGTTGATTTACAAGTACTGACTGGTTTGCCTATTTTTGGTTTGTTCAGACTGATGAAATGACTGGATAATTGCTTGTTATCATTTGTCAAATGGCAGCGATAGCATATGTTTAAACAGGATATCTGTAGTCCGCAAACATGTAGCAATTACTGCAATTACAAGTGTTGTGTATACACTGGTAATAGTCATGTGTTCCCTACTTCCCGAAGTATATTTTCCTGTCGTGTAGAGGCTTGCCTGCCAAACGTGATACCTTTTTAATCACTGCCATGTGCTGACCAATAAATAAGGTGTCATCGCCTCTTTTCAGTTTTTCTGTTTCTGTTTTGACTTTTTTTGTGTATTGTATTGACAGAAAATATTTTATATAATACTGTATTGCCAGTGCAGAGATGCCTTACACATAAATCCATTAAGTGGAGTGATGCAGACAACAATTAAAAATCACAGCACGTTACAGGACTAGGAACTGCGGCCTCAGAAAAAGGCCCCAACCTTGTCATTTTCAATAACTCACTCTGTTAGAGCTCTTTGGCCCTCCGGAGTTTAAAACTTCCTGTTGCCAGTTGTGGTCTAGGCACACCACATTCGTTTTTTGATGTGTTCATTAATAAGGGGCAAACTGGGTCTTACAAATGCTTTATTACCATCAATCTGGCTACAATTATTGGTTTCATTAAATTAAAAAAGAGAACAAGCACGGATTATTCAACATGGAGAGAAATATGCAAGTTCATGAATTCATTCTGTGCCTGAAGCAATAAATACATGACTAAAGTGTTACACTGAATCTGCAAACGCATATCTTATATGTAAGGCCCATTTGTTGTGAAAGATTAACTTCTACATGAAAGGTTTAGTTCATGTGTTTTTTTTGTTGTTTTTTTTTAGCTCTTTAAAGAGAACATGCAAACATTTACCTGCTAGTATAGTTTTGGAGTATGGGAGCAAACATAGCCCATCCATTGAGCACACAAAGAAACTTATTTACATAGTATTCAGGTTGTGGATCAAATCAAGTTTCAAACACTTAGGCACCTTGCCCTGAATATTGAATTACTTCAGAATCATAATGGAAATTGATTGCTATGGACAACACAAATATTTTAAAACCAGGATACACTTGTTTTAGTGATTTGTCTTTTGTAGCCATCCCTGCCTGTTGTAATATAAGTCTCGGTGGCTTTGGACTGCAGTAGCAGCTTGGTTTCGACATCAGTTTAAAAAGCTTCTAGGGTCATTCAGAATTCATTGACAGCTACATTTGGACCTCCAGTTGATCTTCTTCTGACCTGCAGTTGACCTGCTTCAGGCTGCTTTTGCATTCCCATAGACTTGAAAAGGGAGAGAAGCAGTCTGACGCAAACACAAGCCTGTCAATAGGGACCCTAAATAAAACATATATTATGTATCGTGCTGGGAGGTATAATAAGTAGTCCCTGTCTTTTAAAGACTTTGAGGGAAATTTATCAAAACTGGAGCAGGCAGAATCTGGAGCAGTTTTTCCATGGTAACCAACCAGCTTCTCTCTTCAATCTGTTCAGCTAGGATTTGAAAATGAAAGCGAGAAGCTGATTGGTTGCCATGCACAATAGATTTTGTCTCCTCCAGTCTTGATAAATTCCCTTCTTTGTATTTGCATATAGAGACAATGTTCCACAACTGTTTTCCGAGTCCAGTTCAAGTCACAGAAACACACATACAGTCAGATAAAGTTTGTACCAAAAACCTCAATTTTCATAGTTTTGCCTACTCTTTCCTCTTGCAGGAGTTGGGCAGGGTGGCTAAATATGACTTTGCAGTATAGTAGGCAACAGAAAAGACCCAGCGCACTCAGTTTTACAAAGAGAGCTGGACAGACACATCCCTTCTCTTCTTTTGCAAGTCTGTGAGGACTCTTGTGACTGGGGGTTTGAGTGTTACTGTAAGGGCAGGATGTGATAATGGTGCATTGCACAGTTTACTTTTTTTTTTTTACAACTTTATTCATTCATCTTTATTCACTGCAGTGGGTCACAACATGCTGCAATGAAAAAAAGTAGGGCATGTCCTACTTTTTTCAGTGCATACCACTGCAGCATGCTGGTGTGAGCTGAACTCATAGGAAACAAGGCAAATTGTCTTGTCTATGTGCAGGGACTGTATTGGGCAAGGTAGGGGTGTCACCAGGCCGGGTGTTATGTCATTACAGCGTCTCCTCCTCTTTCGTGCAGCTGTCGGGCTCTGTGACCGAGTGCCCGACTTTTCAGAGGGGGTGACACCAAAGTGACTGTCAGTCATTTTGGTCTCACCTGCTCTAATGGTGTCACCTGGTGTGGACCGCACCCCTTGCACCCTCCTTTTGATGCCATTGGGCAAGGCTGCCAAGCACAGCCAAATGCATATGGTGTGAATGGGCCCTGAGAGAAATATATATGCTGTATACAGTGCCCACCCCCACTGTTTTTTTTCTTAATTTAAAGTTGTGTTTACCCTCTCTACACTCCACTGCCATCCCAGGCTTCTTCTTCAATCCATTGTTGGCAGCCCTCTTCAGATAGGATGGTAGTAATGTCTTTTCTCCATTCCCTGTGAGCCCAGCCTGCCATTTATATGCCCCCATAGGGGGCAAGCCATTGTGTAGTCAGGGCTCACAGTATTCCAGGACTGAGTGGTGCTCACATGAGCTGTGCTTAGTCCTGGAAAAATGCCCACCCCCTAAGTAAAAAAACATTTCTGGGCATGACATGACCAGCTAGAAGACTGCAGGAAAAAGGTAATAGGATAATTTCAATAAAGTGCAAGACTCACAAAACAGTTAGCTTACAGCTGGAATTTAGTAATTTGTCTTTAGCATATACTCACAATGGGAATGGTGTCCACTTTGTATAATTACAAGCAGACATGTCATCACAAAAGAGCAGTAGAATAAGCATGGAAATGTAAAAGAGAAAGATCAAGTTCGTTTTGTCAGGTAAGAATAGAGTCAGAATGATACTACGCTGCCTGGCCAAGCATTGAAATGGTTTACAGAGTTGCTAGGTTACATCACATCAGGCTTTCTGCTAGGCACATTTTATTGATTTGGGCAATGAAAAAATATTGCACATTTTTATTCTGGGGCTGATTAATGAAAACTAGTTGAAAAGCAAGTGTGTGAAGTGTCTGTACTGCACATAACAGTCAGCGGGTTTGCAGCTGCCATTTTTCTTGTGAAGGTTACAATTGGAAACAAATGTTTTATTGGCTGGAAAGACTATTTTCCTTTACTAAGTTTTTTTAAACATAAAAGTTTCATTTTCCATTGAAAGCGTTTCTAACAGGGCATCATGGTGCCTAATGGGTTACCATTCTTGTCCTGCAGCTCAGAGGCCTGGGTTTAATGCCACCTGAGACAATATCTACATAGTGTTTATATGTTCTCTCTGTGCTTGTGTAGGTTTCCTATCAGTTCTGGTTTCCTCCCAAAAACATACTAATAGGTTTATTATTTCCTCCCAAACTGGTCCAAAATTGTGATAAGGGCATTATGTTGTGAGCTCCCTCACTGCAGACTGACAGAAGTAATTAATTAATGTGCTCTGTCAAGCTGACCATACACTGAGATAATTTTGGCCAGTTCTTGATGAACTGGCTTAAGTTGCTCAGTGGGTGGCCCTATTGGCGGGTGGGAGGGATGTTTCCCACTCAACATCCTTTCATCAGACTATCCCAGCAAGAGAAGAGGTATTGCACTTGGTTCTCTGGCAGCTGTATCGCCTACATTCCCTATATTCTAGGAAGTGTTGGATACCTGTGTTTCCTGATGTGTACTTTGGTTCCTTCCTCTAACTCCCTACTACACTACCAGACTTAGAACTGACATAAGGGTGGGAGGATGGAATGGTGGTGAAGTCCCGGAACAGCAGAGTTTAGAGTGGGAGAGGAATGAGCAGCACATGGAACCAACCCATTCATGTGTTCAAAAGGAGCATGATAATAGGAGGAGAAAACAGAGGAAAATTAGCTTATATCTTTGCTGCTCCTCCTTCACTGTCCAGTCACAGGCTGTGGGCGGGCCCATGATTGCCTGGGCTCAGAGTAAGTTGGTTGAATGATGCTGGCTGTCATTGAACCTTGAAACTGATGATATATAGTGGTGAAAAAGAGGTACTGTGGGGGACAGCTCTGGATTAAATGTTAGTATGGCAGAAAAAGCAGTTTTTTTTGTTCACTTTGATCTTTTAATAGGCTATTATTTTTTGCTGGAGTTTTGTGTTAAGTGCAGGCTTGTTTAACATAGCGGCACAAACGCACTAAGAACAAAGTACATTAATTCAAGGCATCTATTAGATTTTACCCCTCACTGATATTAATAGACATAAACTGATAGTTTTTTAGTAAACAATAATGCTAGAATGAGATAGTGGAGCAGCATGTGGTTTCCTTTAAATAGGGATGCACCGATACAGTTTTTTTAGTATCGAGTACGAGGACCGATATTTATATTTTGGTACTCGCCTATACCAGGTACCAATACCGGTACTTCCGATAGCATGGAGCCGACTTCCCAGGAAATCAGAAAGCTGGGCAGCGTGCCATTATCCCGATACCCGGCTTCATGCTGTTTGGCCAGATCATTGCTGATCAGCCAATCAGCATCGAGCCGGCTTCCCAACCAATCAGAAAGCTGGGTGGCAGCACTGCCAGTCAGAGGAAATCTTATACCTTTCCCCGATACTGGAACATTTCCTCTAACTGGCAGTGACGTGGGGGAACACAGAGCCAGCTTCCCGGGCAATCAGGAAGCCGGGTGGTGAGTAATGACCCGCCTCCCGGCTTCCTGATTGGCCTGGGAAACCAACTCCATGCTGATTGGCTAGGAAGCCGGTTTCCCTGCCAATCATAATCGAGTCAGGCAAATAACATGGAGCCGGCTTTCTGGGCAATCAGGAAGCCGAGCGGTATGTCATTACCTGCTGCCCGGCTTCCCAATTGCCCGGGAAGCCGGCTCCATGCCAGCAGAAGCACTGGTATCAGTACTCGGTATCTGCGAGTACCGAAAACAAAATATCAGTACTCGTACTTGATACCAAAAAAACAGTATCGGTGCATCAATAAATAAAGTGTTGCACTTTGCACATAGGTATTAAAGTTTGTGCAATCTTATCCCATTATGTGTCTCTTTGAGGTTTCAGCAAACCTATTTAGTACAGTAAGCTATCTTGATAGGCAAGACTATATAAATGAGCACTGTTTGTTAAATGCTCTAGTGATTTCATGCAGGGAATGATTGAGTAAGCTATAAAACATATTTATGTGCATCTGTAATATTGCATCTGTAATATTGAGATTTGTAGTAAGCTATTTTAGAGAAAAATAAGTATCATATATTTTTACTGATTACATGGATGCTGCAAATTACTTTTTGTGTGAAACTGTAACAGCTTTCTTTAGTATCCACTAGATGGCACTGTAGTAATTTGTTTATTTTTGACATCTATCCCGCTGTTTAGGAAACTACAATTTTATACATTGTAACTGGTCTAAAGAGACTGTTCTGGTTGCTCACCAAGATTATATATAGTTCAATTTTTAGACAACAATGGTTTATGTTATTGTAGGTGAATTATCATCAAAGATTTTTTTGACATCATAGTGCTAGGTTGAAATTTACACAGCAATAGATACTCTTAAGCATGCTTTTCCCTGGAAAATAATGTGGCAACCCTTTAATATGCACTGCATATTTTTAACCCTTACAGTGGACAGTACTTTGCATATTACCACTGTACTGCCTTACTGAACAGTCCTAGTTTGTGCTTCAGTGGAAATTCTTCTCCTAGTGTTACTAATTGTAAATAGAGTGATAAAAATGTAAGTTGCATGCATAGAGATATCTGACAGCTTTCATGACATGCTCTGAAAACCATAGGCTAGCTATTCATCTGAATCATTGATGTCATCATTAATGTTTGTCAAGTTAAGGGAAAGCCACTGAATCATAAAAATGATCGGCATATTATAGTAATGGTATTAATATAGCATAGTATAGTATATTAATGTAATAAAAAACACATAATTAGTTAACTGATTTGCTGCAAACTGTTAAAGAAGAACTCCTGGCAATACTTTTAGTAACCCTTGCAGTAGGGCTGCCCCGCACTGCTAGGGTTAACTGCTCCTTTTTGTCTAGGTGCTAAAAGAAAAGTTATACTCACCTGAACCGTGGGGCCAGCTTGTTCTGAGATTGGACCTTCCAGCCTCTCTCCCCTCCTCTGCAGCAGTCTAAGGTCCCATAAATCATTACATTCTATACACTTTGTATAGACATAAAGGTGGTGAGGAACATTGCAATGCTGCAGAATAGGAGGAAACAGGGTTCAAAGACCATCGAAACAGGGAGCCCATTCGGCAGTTTGGGTGAGTATAACTTTTTCTTTTTTTAGCATCTAAACAAAAAGGAGCAGCTAACTCTTACAGTGCAGGGGTAGCCCCACCCCAAGGGTTAATACAAGTTTTGCCTGGAATTCTTCCATAAATGCACAGTAGGTAATTTTTTGTGGAGAAATGCTGCTTAGCACTTTCCGGTTATAATGGCCAAAAGCCGCATCTCTGGAACTCTTATGCCAACTGTGTGCTGTCCCTTGGCATGGTAGCACGGTTTACATCAGGCTGGCAATTTATTTACTAGGATCCATTGACCCTCACCTTCCATTATGGTATAAGCATGCTTACTGCAATGTGAGTTGCATCATTTCTGCCTTGATTGAAAGTCAGAATGAGTGGTCTCATGAACAAGCTGAGCGGTTGTCAGTGGTTTCAACTGTGTGTAGACATCAGGACCATGCTGTATAGTGATAATAATGGCGCTGCAGTTTCAAGATGAGGTGCCAGTCTAGGTAGCCATGAGTGAAGCAATACATTAGTTGCTTGTGCATTTGTATTTAAAAGATTGTCATCATTATTTTTGTTTTTTCCAACAGGGACTAACAGGACCTGATGGATCTTCTGGCTCTGTCGGCCCAAGAGGACAGAAGGTCTGTATACATTTATACCAACAACAAATCCAAATATTATTATGTAACATTCTAGTTTTACCACCAATGGATTTCTGATTAAGATGCAACATTTCATTGAAACTCTGTTCCCAATAAATAGGATTCCTCCTCCAAGAATGATAGAATTATAACAAATTGCAGTTACAAATCTCTCAATGTGAGCTAGACCATTGCGCAACACAGTCTTAGTTAAAGTGAGCTAATAGTATAGTCTATTTTACAGATTTGAAGCAGTCACCTATGAGGGCAGAAAAGTTAAAACCAAATTTCCCGGCTCACGTTGTTTTGGGGTGGGAGGGGGCGTGGTGGTGCATTGAAGTAAATGGCACTGCAGTGCATGCAGCATTTCTTCTGAACGCACCAGTCATTGATGTGCCACACGTTCCTGTGCGGGCGATCGCACTGCAGCCGGAGGGCGTGGCTGCGGTGACATTGACTTCAATGCACCGCCACGCCCTCTTCTTCCCAAAAACATACTGAGCTGGCCAGGATGCGATCCAGTGCATTTTGGCATTGAATTGGGCTGGAACTCACTGGGACTGGTGTGAACTAGCCCTACTGTTAGGAATTTTTTTAAAGTGTTGGTAAGGTTTGGGGGAGGCATAGATACAAGTGTGAGAATGATTGTTTGGGTTAAATTATCCTTAGGGGTCTATTTATAAACAATTCACAGAGTCCTTTGCCCTGCGAATATCTGTGAATGCTGCTTTTGGGCGAATAATGCCCAAAACTAATTTTCTTAATAAATGTTTCCCAGTTCAAATATAGTGTGTTGTAATAATACATTATGGCCACTAGATGGAGCAGAGGAGCACAGTAACTATGTACTTCTTTTCTAAGCTACGCAGCTCCAGCTAGTGGCCGTAATGCATTATTGTAGATCACTACATTTGAAATGGGAA